TTTTTTTTTTGTATCCAAATAAATGTATTGATTCAATATTTTAATGTATTATATTTTTATCATGCTTTCCAGAAATATGTTCCGCGTATGACGATTCCACAAATTTTAAAAGGAAGAACTATTTTTGACAGAGAGATGTCTAGAAAATATAGAAAAGTAAATGTCAAATAGTAATAATATTAAAAATAACTAATCATAATCCTTTGATTTTAGTTATTGAGATTTCCGCATAGGGATCGCACAATTGCAAATTTGATTCATTTTTTCATTGAGTCAAGGAAAGAGATATCAACATATGATGGAATAATGTAAACGATTTTTCTATTCAAATATTTTTTTCGAATATGATATTTTTACTGTTACAGGTGAAGTGCATACGCTTTTGGTAATAATTTAATGCAATATTTTAATGCTACTGTAAATCATTCTTTATTATATAAGCATGAAATTAATGCTGGATATAAATTAAAGGTAATTAATCTGTTATAATATACTTATTTTTTCACAGTATTTATATTTTATAATTTAGGATTATTAATACTTAATATTTTATCATATTTTTAAAACAGTTACCTTACGAAATCAATTTTATTCAATCTATGTTTTTTTGTATTTTTCACCTGTGTCTTTAACATTTTTGTACATTTTACAATCTAATATTAGATAAACCCTGTCTATTGTTACTTGTTAAAATTACTATTATTATGCAAATTTTCTTTAGCTATTTTTCTATCATTGTAACTTCAAAATAAGTTTTTTTATGTTTGATAATTTATGAGCGATATTGTGTTCACATTTTATAATACATTTTGTGTTAACATTTTCCCAATATCTCCAATTATAAATGGTATATTTATCAATATTTTATATTATTGTTTAGTAACTATGATACATTTTTTGGTTTCAGGCTGAATATTATTTTTTATGCAATCATCAACAACTTGTCAAACCAATTTTTAATTTAGAGGGTGTTAAAAAAATTTGGTGTTTTGTATATGGAGCAGTATTTATTTTACGATTACTAATTCTATGAATAATTTAATTCTTCTGAAACATTTGTTCACATGTGATTAAGAGTTGATTAAATATTAAGAATTTTAAATTATTTGTTTGCATTTATTATTAATTTACATAATATAGTATTGGCATTTCAAAAACTATTTTATTATAACTAATTTTGACATCAATAATTATACTTCTAACAATTATTTTAAAGTAAATTCATAGTTGTTTTCTGCTCATTAAGTTAATCTTATATTTATTTTATACCTTGTATTGTTTTTGCACAATTTTTAAATACATGTCTATGATAAATTTAGTCACATTAAAGAATATCTTATTTGCTCTAAACATAACCAAATAGCAAAGAAAGTTTCTACTAAAATACTTAAATGTTAACTTCTTATTTTATTAATAATTAGTATAAATTCAGTACATTCCTAATTCAAAATTTATTGAACTCGTGTTTTTTAGAAAAAAATCCGATTGTTTTCCAACCTAAAGATCATATTTTTCCAGAAATAGAAGCATTTCTCAATAATAGTAATGTCGCAAGTTTTTTAAAGTGAGTATTAATTTTGAATAATTAAAAAAAAAAAAAAAACATGAATGAGACTCTTAGGTCGGTTGAAGTACAAAGACGGATGATGATACTTCTATAGTAGTCTTGTAAACTTAAATCCAATTTATCATTATCCTCTCAAAAATGGTTTTGAGTAAAAAAGTTTGAATGTATCAGTTTATAATTCTAAAGATGATTCATAAATTTCTTAAAATGATTGATAAATTTTTACAAAAAAAAAAAAAAAAATTGCATCCAAAATTGGGGAAAATCGAAAAATCGATTATCATTTAAATATTTCGTAAAAATGCAATGTTTTTAAAATACTAATATAAGTAATCTATGATCAATTTGAGTCAATAATATTAATATTTATAAAATAAAAACCAAATAATTAATATTGTTCAATCAAAAATCGTTGAAATATCTGATTTTATCAACGCTTCCTTTGGGACGCTTTTGCATCTTAAATTAACATTAAATTAAACTTGAGTGACTTACTAGTATAAAATTATTTTGTTGTTTTAAAAGAAAATCATATGAAAAATCTCTTATGAAACTTATAAATTTATTTAATAATAAAATTTTCTTCTTTTTTTCACTGGCCTTTACAACAGTCTTGCCATCATCAACATACCACTCCATCTCTCTCGGTCTTGAGAAATTTGCAAAATCTTTTTACAATTAAATATTTTTTTTTTTAAAATTGTGTGCACATTACTAATATTTGATCTTTCCTAGAAAGTTAGTGTGATCAATGATAGTATAAAGACGAATGAAGACTGTTAAATATTCATTAATTCTTTACAATTATTATAATACTGTATCTACATTTTCAGATTTATGGCAGACAATTATGAACAATATTTTACACATGATGATTATATTGAATATAAAGAATTCATAAAAAAGAATAAAACCAACCATCATAAAAAACCGCAAGCTAATAAGCATATACGTGTTTAGTTATCATAGTTTTTTTTACCACTCATGTTTTTTAAACGAATTACTTGGATTAATGAAAATATCTTTTAAGATAAACTTTGTGTCCCTAGTAACTTAAAATATTTTTCAAATACACCTTTTCATTATTTTTTTTTTTTTTGTCATTTAATAATATATGTTGTAATTTACCATTCATATAATAAAATGCAGGGAAATTAAAAATTATTTTTTAGTGTAGTTAATTTTCATTTTTGTTAATTTATGGACAAATGTGGTAAAATATAAAAAAAAAATATAAAAAAAAAAAAATTGAGAGGCAAAACCACCATAATTATTCTATGGAAACTTTAAAAAAAGCTATTGAAGAAGTTAAATCAAATAAATTGTCATATCACGATACAGAAAAAAATATAGTGTATCAAAATCAACTATTCAAAGAAAAGTTAAAGGGAAAACTATGATGAAAGTTGGTAGGCTTTCTGCACAAACTGAAGATAAAACTAACTTACTGAAAGGAATATGTTTATCAAGCAAGTGGAGTTTTTTTTTTTACTTTTTATAAGGTATTAAGTACAAATTGTTACACAAATTTAATTTAATGTTATTTAAAATGTTTTAAAAGATGTTTCTTTTTTTAAAAAAACAATATTACTTTCTCAACTTAAAATAACCAATTTAACCCTTCAATGCGCGATTTTTTATTTTTTAAAAAAAAAAATCTTGTTGGACTAATTTGAGTCTCAGGAACTCAGAAAAAATAGTTAAAAAAATCTAGGACTGTTTTTTAGCTCAAAAACACGAGATTTTTATTTGTTCCTTGTAAGCAACATCGCGCGTATGCAAGTGTTATTTTTATTTTAACTTTATGATCAATAAAAATAAAAACTTAAACAAATCACATTTTTAATTCTTCCTACATAATTATCAATAAAAATAACAAATTAAAATAATAAATAATCATAGTAAAAACTTAAAAAAATCACTTTTTACTTCTTGATATCTAATTATCAATAAAATTTAGAAATTAAAAACAGTATAAAATATTTAAATTGAAATAATTTCATCACAGCTTGTGGTTTGATATTATTTTTCACTTATACAAATTAAAGTTATAAACGCATTTATTTGCAATGGAACTCTTCGAAGCATTGCTTTTCTTTGGTTTGACACAAATACTGGTTGCATTTTGAACACTTCTAAAATGTGGTCCCCGTATAATGTGGAATCTTACATCTTCCTTTTTTGTCCTGAAATCTGGCCCAATGTCCAAACTTATCTAGTCTTACATCTTTTGGTGTGGATGTGACAAGTCTTCTTCTTTTTACCCTTTGAAGTTCTCCTTCGAGTGAGTTCGATGGGCGTCCTCGAACTGGTTTCGTTATACCACTTTTGGTCAAATAAAACGCTATTTCTTTTCGCCAATCAGCTAAAGAATATTTTACAGGTTCCATTTTTTCTTCTTTTACGCGTTTGTAAAGAAGCCACGAATTTACTTTATTTTAATTTATACTATATATATATATATATATTCTAATTGTATATCGCCCAATTAGACTATCCAATAAATCGACTCCACCCATGAATCTATTATACTCTTTAATAATATACGGGCAATGCTGAATCAAATGGTATGCTGAATGTTAAATTTTCAAAATATAATATCAAGTATAAGGACCAAGAATTCTAATCTTGTCTTTGGCTATAAGTTCAATACATTATTTTTCTTCCACTCAATATTTATTGATTTATTGATCATTTATGAATATAGAAATAAATTGTACTTTATATTTGCTGTTTTATTTTTATTTTTTTAATTATACCCTCATTTTATACATATTAATCTTACAAGTCATAGGCTAATAGATATCTTGTATGTAATTACTAATATTAACTTCATATCTTAAGTTACGCTCAAGGGTATTATTTTGTGTTGATAATGAATTAATGACGAATTAAATAAAAAAATAATAAAAATTATTACAAAATTTTTCTGCTAAGATAAAAATTACTTTTTAGTTCTTCTTCAGAT